GGCATTTTTCTGTTTCAGAGGTCGGTGAATTTGGGTTCGCTTGCGTACGAAAAAATAAAAAGCGTCCGGTATAGTGCGAAGAGTTATAACAGACGTGACAACTCCAATGACAAATAACATAAATCCATATAAAATAATGAAGTAATGCATGTATTTTAATCTCTCTCTCTCTCTCTCTCTCTTTTCCATTTGTAGAGTATGTGGAATGTATCTGTCATTCATACGGGTGGCAAAAAAAAAACGGACAAGCATGCAGGGCAAATTTTACTAGGCGAGAAAACATTTTTTGAAGAAAAATGATACCCAAATTGCCCGAAATTGGTTAAATTGTTATGTGAACAAATGTTGAAAACATCCACTGTCAGTTTCTGGACAAATTTAAACCCAGTCCTTGTGTCACAAAATGCTCCCTAAAACTAAACAAACAAAAATTGGTAATTTTTGTATCATTTTTCATGTGAAAATATGCTTCTCCTGCTCCTTCGTCGTTTAAAAGTATGATGGGGAAAAAAGAAATCTGGTTGCAGAAAACGTTATACAAGAATTTGTTTCTTCACTTTCCATTTTTTCTTTTCTTTTCTTTTGGGAAATACATTCTGTTATACCCCATTTATATTTGTTTAGGTCAAATGATCAAAAACTTCCTTTTTCTGAAGGACTTGGCGGAGGCGATGTAGGAAGTCGAAGTACTTGAGATCGTTATAAAGAAAGAAGAGAGAAACCATGTTATGTGGGTGAATACAGTAAATCATAAAATGGAGTAGTATAGTAGGAGTCTTGTACATTCTGAGAACATTATGTTTAATAGTCATCATTTATTGTTCATTCATTTATGAATCATTCATTTATGAATCATTCATTTATGAATCATTCATTTATTTATTCGTTCATGTATTCAAATATATTCATATAGGATACACAAGATATGCATGTTACTTTATTCTATTTGTTGGTCCTGATATTATAAACGTAAAAATATGAACAATTCTGAAAAAGTAAAACCAAAATTACAGTCAACTGATTAGGAAAAGTAGAAAGGGATAGGGGAAGTGCTTAACCTTCTTAAAACAATTTTGTCGATTCGAAGGCTAAGAAAAACAATGGGGGCAATGCAGTCCCGTAAGGACATAACTCATATTGGATTGTTTGTGAGTTCTAATGTTCTAGGCTCAAATCAAAATTAACATGATCAATGTTCCAGATCAACAAGAAAAAATGAAAAACGAAGACAAAAATTAAAACTGATTAACAAATAAACCAATGAAATAGTTCTTCTATCTACGATCAAATATATCAATTATATAGATTTTCGTTACGATGTTAAAAGGATGGGAAATGGTTACAACGAGTGTTAGTGACATTTTTGTAAATGTTTTGAAGAAGCGAATGAATCAACAAACAGTTATGACACCTATGCGAGGTGTCCTTTGCATTGCAAAACATTTCGAGGAAATCAGAAGATTTTTATGTATTGGTCACTCACTCAATCCTTCAATGGTTGATAGAGACACTGCTTACGGAAGGAATACAGGGGTGGTCGAACAAATAAACCAATGAAATAGTTCTTCTATCTACCATCAAATATATCAATTATATAGATTTGCGTTATGATGTTATTAGGATAGGAAATGATTACGAGTGTTACTGACATTTTGTAAATGTTTTTATAAATGTTTTGAAGAAGCGAATGGATCAACAATGCAAAACATTTCGAGGAAATCAGAACATTTGTATGTATTTGTCACACACTCAATCCCTCAATGGTTGATAGAGACAATGCTTACGGAAGGAATACAGGGGTGGTCGAACCAAAATAGAGTGGGAGGTACTGCTAGGCACGGACCTAGATCAGAAGATTCTCAGAATCAATTGATCTATAAGCGAACAAACCAGACATCAACACATTCGTCAAGGCCATGTCTGGTACATAGTTGCGATTGATCCAAATCAATTACAAGTCCTTTAAAGGCACACTGCCATACTTGTAGCTCCTTGCTCCCTCTATATAGAAAACTTCCCCAATCGGTGCCTGTTGGTCCCCCATGATCCTCTTTTTCTTATGTTAAATGAGAGCTGAGTTAATGAGATAGCCACCTGTCACAGTGACCTCGATGGCTCTCTGTGTGGTCTAATCCCTTCTGGCCCAGTAGTGGTGACGGTCTTTAAACAATCGCAAGTTTGCAGTCCCGTATCTTTTAGGTAACTAGTTGAGAATGATATCAACTCTTTATAAGACGGGGCCATGATGTTTGCAGTGGTACTAATAATAACAAATATGATCTCGCCTGAGTAAAATATGTGTCAGAAAGGAAATTTTCTTCGTAAGAAAAAGCATACATAAATCACACTGTATAATATTTCGAAAAAGAGGGTCCGATATAAAAAGCAATGTTGCAAACCACCAAAGAAAAAAAAACAATGCGAAGAAATTCCATGCCTTTTTTCCCCTTTTTAAGTAATGATTTGGTGTTTTTGATAATTCATGTATGTTAATGGTCTGCAAATAATCTATTTACTACACAAGTGACCATGCACAATAACTTCTGTCATTTTATTCTGCCCTTGCAATATAACAGAACTAAATTTTATGAGATACCATTTCACATATGATTGAAAAACCCGTCTTCATCCATATAAATAATCATATCATAAATATATTCATTTATGGTGTACTATGTATGTACTGTTTCTTCAGTACCATATACTTATATACACGTATCATCCGAAGAGAACGACACTTAAGCATTGTCTTCAATATGCAACGGTAAACCGCCGATGTTTACCCCGATATGTACGAACTAGCCTTTAGAAGTGTCTACACTCTATCGGCTCAGAGAAGACTATGGTCGATCTTCTTTAAAACATGAAAGTAAATAAACCCATGTTATTTCATAGAACAGGAATGATCAGTCATTGGTACCCCCCCCCCCCAAAAAAAAAAAAAAAAAAAAAAAAAAAATCGCTGATGTGACGCAAGGATACCTCCATTACCCCTATTGCTTTTTTTTTTTTTATTATTATTCATAATGAGAAACATCCGGAAATTAGTGAGTGGAATACAGATTGATAAACATCTTTAGGGCGTTTATATGTGCAGATAAAAACCAATGGAAATTGTTTTTGAGAAATTTAGAATCATAAAAAACAAATATTATATGGATGTAGGCATGCAGTCACCAAGGGTACATATGGACATCAACCCTATACATATGAGTTGCCGGAGCTACAGGTTAGGTAATAAGAAATGACCTATCTTGAAACGTTATCCGGATGCCTCATCATCTTCTATGACCACTTGCCTGTCCTTTGTATGCCTGGTCCATCCCTTCCGGTTCCGCCGCCTGTGGTTACAGGGGTATTTTTCAGGTTTCAGGGATACATGCAATAACAGTATTTATTGAAATTACGAACTTTGAAACCATCTCTCGTGTTACTGGCATCCATGTTTGCCAATCTTCGTCCCAAGATCAAGACCAGGATGAGAAATACAGAGATAGAAAGAAAGAAAGGGGACAAAGAAAGAGAGAGAGGGAAAGAGAAGGGGAGAGAGAGACAACAAGAAAACATGTGGGGAGAGAGAGAGAAGAGAGAGGAGAATAGAGGGGCGAGAGACATTCAGAGAGGAACAGAGCGAGAGAGAGAGGCGAGAAAAAAGTAAGATCGACAGAGGAAGGAGAACTGTTAAAGTGGTAGAGTAAGAGGCAGATGGTGATGTGCTTCTATCTTGTAAAAATGAAAAAATGACATTAGGAAGTTCCGCTTTGGCCGTTGAGCGTGTTGAGCAATAATATTTATAAAATTTAATTTACAATTCTACTCCTATATAATGATATCCGTATCCATAAATAAAAACAGCGTTCTACTCCGAAAGAAGTGAAAAATATGACGCAAATTTTCCGTGGGTGTGCCAATCTACCAGGCATGTTCCGAACTAGACGATTATATAAAGAGCAAAGCTTTGTTGTAAAAATTAGTTTATTCAAAATCCACAATGTTTCTCTTCGTTGGTAAGGATTTCTTTATAATCTCAATCTGTGTAATATCTGGAAATGTGTAGGGGTCTCCAAAACGAATTCTGATAAGGCTGTGGTTCTTAGTGTCTTTTTTTCCCGTTCTGATTTTTTGCTAACAGATTATAATTGTATGTTGCATCTTAAGGAGACATTTGTATTGCGCCATGCTACGCAAACATGAGGGCAACTTAGAATTCAAAATATTGTAAAGAAATGATTTCTTATCATTTCCTTCATATTCTTTTTTAGTCTGGCTGTAATATGCTACATTTTTCGCGTCGACTGAATTAATCGAGGTGGCAACGCATTTTGTTGGAGGATGCGATTACGATATACTGAATACAATTTTATATCGTTCAATCTGCAATTATTGAGGGGCAATTAGTCCCATTTTACCCAGACAGTTGTTTAGCGAGATTGAGAAAAGTTCGTTTCACACTCCTTGAAGTCATAGGTTCATCCTATTACTAATAATGACGTTGGTTGACTGGAGCATGTAATCTGAATGCACCATTTATTTGTTCATATTCTTTGACAAAACATGGGTTAACAGACTGATAATAGCGATTGGTTATGGTCACTCGAGCACATTGTCTCCAGATGTCCTTCAAATGGTCTTTCATATGGTTTCGTGAAACTAAACCTTCTCTTCTGCGCTCGACCATGCAGTCTTCTGCGTATGGTGCAGGTTACTATTCTTAAAATTAAAAAAAAAAACGATCGAATTTCATCGTCGGCCTAGTTACTGTTATCAGCTGACTTTCTTCGAGCAATTAAATTGATTACATTCATAAACTCTTACAACCTTTGGTCTAGGGAAGTCATTACGGATACCGTCATTTTACTATTCAAGTTTCTCGTGGGTTCGACTAAAAGTCAACTGCCAGTAAAGTGATGAGTCTAACTCTCACATCCGTTCAGATTATACATACTCCGTTGTTGTTTAGAAGCTAATGTCCTGTTTTTATCTTGTTCTTATGTTTGCAGTTATCATGATTCTGTGCGTCGATCGCACCAAGCAAGTAATGGCATTCCCTGCAACTTCTACTACTACTACTACACCCGCTGCCACTTTACTCAGCCTGCAACAACTCCAAAACATTTCCTCACGGCTTGTAAGCGATTCGAGAAATATATGCCAAAGATTTGTAAGTATTTAAATCTCTTGTTAATTCGTAAAATTAATTTTACGTATTTTATGTTGTGTTTTTTTTTCTCCGTTGCGTCGAAAATTGCAATCAGTCTAATGTTGTTTTTGGTATATATATTTTGTTGTTGTTTGTAATGTATTACATGTATGTGTGCATGCATTGGTATTATTTTCATCAATATCAAATCAAAATGTGGTCAAAAAATGCACGCGTCTCTTTTGATATACTCATATGAAAATCAGGCAAGCAACAGTATCATATGTTTTAGGCCCCATTCTTTTACATTTTCTCCCCCTTTAAAAAAAAAATCTAAAGGGACATATTTTGCCAACCGCTATGTGTATCGTATTCATACTCGTGACCCGTTGCAGTAAAATGGGTCGAATTTGATTATTGATTCGTTCATCTATGTCACATATATCCGAAACTTTCCTCTTTTTTAATGCAGACTACTTTTCTCTCCCTTCCTCAAAGAAAAAGAGAAGAAAAGATTTTTTTTGTTAATAAGAAGACAAATACACAGATGTAGAGTTCGTGATACGTTCAAACGGATACGAAAGTTAGCAAATAATAACGGGAAGTCGAACAGATCTGAAGTGATTTTCAAACAAATTTATATATTTCAAACAAAAGTATATCAAAAGTATATCAAACGGTTAAGGAATGTTAGACCATTATATATTAAGCACACAACATTATGTTTGCCAACGCTTACGTAAAGTGTTTTTACTCATGAAATAAAACCACCCCTTCTTTGGATTCAGGGGTACAGCTAAGTGAATACACGTAGGACTTTTGTAGCGCGAAGTCGCATGTTCCGCATATTTGAACGAGTCCTTACCATTCATTACCAGTGACCGCCATGTGTGGGTGCGCGTGTGCGTGTTTATTTTTTGATTATTTTTTTCTTCTTCTACGGTACACACGCAGGGCATCGAATGTGACGCAGTAATTATTCATATAGGAGGATTGGCCAATAAGGTCCACCTTTTACCAAAGCACTGAAAATTATCTGCATCCTGATTGGTTAAAAATTGTGTTTGATCTTGATTGGCCGCGTAGAAACAGGGTCGTGAAGGACTAGTTGGTCAACACACCTCCAAAAATCAAATGCAAATTCCTAGATACCAGATTCTGATTGGTCAATTTGTGTTGATATTTAGGAGTTTCATTGAACAGCATGATTTTATGCCATTATGGGACTTTTTTTGCCCTAAATGGTTGTGCAACACCAAGATACATGTAAAGGTGTAATACTTGACAAAAGGTAATGATTTATGAAATATCACATTTGGTGTGCTTTTCTTACAGGAGAGGGACAGATTAGAAGGGCTCGTGTCCAGAGGTCAACGTTGCCAAGATCCAGTCCAAACAGTGACTCCACTTTCACCCTTAACACTGCTATTTTTGTCGGTAAGTTTTGATTGCCGTTCGTGAAATATGTTGAATAAATTTAAATGTGATAGTTTGTTGTTCATAAATTAGTAAAGGAAATTATTTCTTTGTTACATAATAAATTAATACGGACAGGAATATTGAATATATACAATGGTGCCTCTGTACTTCTTGGATTTTAACGTAGTTTAGCGTAGTGGAAGCCTTCGTAGCGTAACGTAGCCTAACTTGGCGCACCGTAGCCATTCGTATTACCATCCGTGACTATTATCTAACCTAGTTGAACTATCGAAGCAGCAGCCGCAGCAGCAGTAGCACAGGAAGAAGGAGAAGAAGAAGAAGAAAAAGAAGAAGAAGAAGAAGAAGAAGAAGAAGAAGAGATGATGGTAATGATGATGAAAAAAAGGAGTGCTTGGAATCTGAAACTGCAGTTTTACACCGCTTAATCCTTTATATTTTCTTTCGCTTTTTGATTTGTAGAAACAATCTATTTTAGAAACACTGGAGGTGAATTTGCTGAGGTTTGTGGAACCGCTGCATGACATGACAGTGAGAGAGACGAGCTGGCCAGGCCTTCATATATTTTACATGCCTTACAACGGGCAAAGAGGGTTTGAAGACCTCGAAAACGACGTCACAGTACTTCTAAACGACGTGAAAGCAAGAGTAAGTTCATTTGTATTAGCTGTACAGGAAATTCTAAGGAGGACTTGGGTTATTTCGTGTCCAATACAATTCACGTGACGATTCCTTGCAACGTATCCTGAATTAAAAACGTATGACATGTATCGATGTATTTCATCCCAAAACGAAAATCTCTAGATACCAGTAAGCACCCCCACTAACAGAAAAACAATGTCGAGGGCATATTTGTTTGTCACAGCAAAAACACAATTTTTTGAGTTAATTGGTTTGATTTCGATGGGATATGTTTTCATTTGACGAGTTATACAGTATCTTCTTCTGACATGTCTGAATGAAGGCAAGATGGAAGAGCCATTTTGTTAATTTGCGGACAAAAATAAGAGAACGGATTCATCCCAAAGCCCATGCCTATGGTGCATGAAATGATGATAAGGAATAACATTTATTTTGGGGAGTGGATTAAAAGTAAAACAGCCATTTTTATGCATTTACGAATTAAGAGTGCACACAAACGTTGAATTCATTGTATTGACACATTTGTATCTCCATCTCTTGTTTTTCCATTTTCTCCAGATAAGACTGCTAGAGCCATCGACTGTGCCAGTCATTCCCCGGACCATCATCAGCGAGGTCACCTACAACCCTGCAAGTACTGCAGCAGTGGACACTGACAGAGCCAACCACCTACTCTTAAGAACTCTTGTGACATTTTCGCGCCAAGTACGCTCGCTGACAATAACGTATGTGCGTAAGGAATTTGAAGCACCATCGTGACACATCGGATAGCGTACAGAATCGGTTGAGAGAGAGGGAGGATGGGAGCGGTACATGGACTGGACTCCTGGTTATTTATTATGTCCATGCTGGACACCATAAAAGCCATGCGTACAATAGCAATAATTCCTTATTTATTTGAAGTGTGTATTTGAAAATTTCGACGGAGAAGCTGGTATTCGCACGTTTGTGTCTATGTCAAAATGAATATGAGTATCCGGAGATTTTGTGTAATCTCAAAAAGTTTATTTAATATGACTTTTGTGACGATTCTATGACTTTCATTGTGACGCTTTTACGGCGTTCGTGTCGGAAGGGATTTATAGACGTTCTTGTAGTTTGTATGCAGATTGTCAGTTCCGTCGACTGTTTTCATCCTGTATTATAGGAGCAGAAACCGATTGAGTCGGTTGTTTCACGTTATATCATCCTTTACATAATGCAGAAAAAACATTTTATTGACGGTAATGTCATACCTAATATGTCAGATTTATATAGTGATACACTGATAACGACTGAATCACTTCTTCAGTTTTAGAACGAAGAGGAACTACAAAATGAGTCTCATAAAATATCGGAAGAGCAGTGAAGTCTGCTTCCGATTAGTATGGTTCCTCTCTAGATCAAGTGGGTAATATTACCTTTCAGAGAGGGGATGTGGTCTGAAAGCGTTTATAGCAGCATTAAAAAAGGGAATATTTAAAATATTTGTTTTCCTTCATAAAGGGCCTTCTGATCGATTCTCTTTAAACCAAAATTCTTTGGAGTTTCCTAAGACAACTTCGAGAAGTGATACTTTGTAATAAATATCCAAATATATATATATATATATATATATATATATATATATATATATATATATATATAGATATAGATATAGATATAGATATAGATATAGATATAGATATATATATATATATATATATATATATATATATATATATTACTGAATAGTTTATAGTCAGCATTTTAGCTATCTACAGTGGTTAATCCCTTTCTATAGAGAACAGAGAAGTCATTTGGTAGGATCTTCAAAGATATGTCATGTAACGTGCAGTAATTTTTGAAGAACCTAACAAAGCTTTTGAGTTCGATGAGGTGAACAATAAAGTAGTCGCGATTACGATAAGCAAAGGAAATCCCAATACCAATTCTAGCATTATCAGATTATGATCTTGTATTTGTACTTCGGTAAATAGCCAAACTATAAAAACAGGATTTATATGAAGGTTGACCTGCCTATTTCGAAATAATAGTTATAACAGAGATGCTTTATTTTGCATTTTCTTAAATAATTATGAATACTATTTATCGCGATATTATAGCAACAAAAGTAAGCAAATATCTTATTCTTCCCCTGAATGATAAACGCCGAAGCTATGTATTCTAGGCTAATATGATTGCTTATTAATTTATGATATTAAGACAATTATCCTAAGAGACAGAGAGAGAGAGGAAGAGAGAGAGAGAGAGAGAGAGAGGGGACAATAATTCAGGTATTACGGTTAGTATTCATTAACCATTTTCTTTGATGATATTATCTTGTTTCGTACAGTTAGAGTCAACCGCAAGTGATTGGAAACGCCCTGTGTTTTCTTTTAACCCGAGTTTTTAGTATGTAAATGATCTTAGACATTTCCATATAAAACTGCAGCACTTTTCTTATTTTGTATTAATTACGCCTGAAACTGATTGTACATTCAAACTGTTTTTTTTTTAATTTTTACCCTCAGTTTTTAGTATGTAGACCGATCTTTAAGAAATGTTTACATGTACAAGTCATCAATTTTCTTCTTCTTTTTTTGTAAATCTTAGTTCAGTCAAATATCTGTGTTGGATCATTTAAAATGCGTGTTCTATGATTGGTGATTTATTTAATCTGTATCGTGTTTTATGCCTACTTTGGTCATGTCAATTGAAAACCTTGCTGAAATTATTAATGCTGCCTTACTCTTGCCTTTTTACTTCATTGTCATGACGGGAAGGGAGAATTAAATACTGGGTACAATGTAGCTTTTTGCACATTCTGCTTTATGTTTTCATTTCAAACACAGAGTTTGATCCATTTAATATAGATATTTCGTCGTTACAATCATAGTATTCATATACTGCAAGTATAGTATGCAAGTTGTTGGAATGAATTACTCTACCAACTATGCGATGCTGACTAATTTATATGCTTTGGAAGTCAATATCGTCATACCTAGGACAGGTATTTAGTCTCGTGACCTTATATTTGATCAGTAATTCCAGCTTCTCGGATTAAAAAAATATAATATATTGAGTACAACAACGTTCAAATAGCATCGATAGGCTGAAAGCATAAAACGAGCTCATCTGTATACTTTATTGGACTTAGCTCCTCCAGTTAGTCAGTGAAAAGTTACTTATCTTTCTTCGTCATATTTAATGTTACAAAATTTAATGTGCGTCTTGTGTTGCGCATTTCTCAAAATTCTTGGTTACAAGTATAATAAAATAAATTTCATAAAAATGCAACGGATGAAATAATCTTCAAAACTTAGTATTTAACTTACATAAATGCACTCAGGTAATAATTGAAAAAGAATTAGCGGGTTTTTCAAAACATTGAGTTCTTGATCCGAAATACTAGAAAATGGACAATGAAGAAACACCAAACTCGGGGGATCTAAATAATAATTTAAAATAAACTTTCTTAGAAGGTGTATGGTGAACTTCAAATTTAAATTCAAATAAGTCAATTGAAAACTGATCTCAACAGAGTATACATTTACGTTATCACTGTGTGCTTGACTTATTGGCCAAAGGGTATTTTTGTATGTAGTCAATGTATTCAGTGCGTATATCCCATGATGATAATTCCTGCCTTCGTAATTATGTACTACATGAATGTTATTCATATGAATCTGTGTTCCCAATGCGAGATAAATGATGTATATCATTTCCTGCTATTGTGACAAAATTGAATATTTTTCTACTTTTTAATAAATGAGTATCAGAACACAAAGAATGTATATTAGAGTGTTTATTGTAAATCTGTTTAATTTGAAAGTTCAAAGGCCTACATGTACGATATGTGTTACATTTAAAGGAAATAGGATGTTTATGGTATTATTTTACTTAAACTAGACTACTAAAGGATTCATTCCAACGGAAATCCCCTGTGTCGATTAGACAGCACTTTATAAACATTAAAGGGTAATGCGAACTTTTAAAAAGCGATCGGGGAATTCGAAAATATATATGTTGCTTAGGGCCCCGTATTACAAAGAGTTGCGATTGATCCAAATCAATCGCAAGTGTCAGTCTCCTAATTATGTACATAGTTGCGATTGACATGAAGTCTTTGTAAGACGGGGCTCCGATGTCAAATAAAACATAGTAAAGCGGTTGTTGGTTGTGTTCGGACACATGTTATGCTCTCAACCAAATTCATCTCATGTCAAATACACTAATCCCAATTAAAGTGTCGTCATTATTTCATTATCATTATCATTATTATTATCACGGATGGGACGTTTGAGAAATTTCCATGATTTCGCGGACTCGACCAAAGACCTACCTCGTGATATGAGAAGAACAAAACTGAAGCACGTGTAGGTAAACAAGTCCCATTTCCGGGAAAGAAAACAAAATTGACCTTGTCCCTGAGCTCGTAGACCTCTTGCATTGAACAAAACTGTTGGGAAAAGAGCAATAAATTATAAATAATTCATTGCATTTTGCCCCGAACCCTAACATTAAAAAAAATCCTCTTTGTGGGCATGCCTTTAACCATGATGCATTGCCCTACAATGGAGTTTTTCCTGTTGGGGACCGGGGGAAATGCAATGAATTATTGATAATTTATTGCATTTTTTTTTTTTTTTTTTTTATATATGTGGGGGCGGCGACGTACCCTAGCCCCCGTTGCGTAGAGTATTGATTCGGTGGCTAAGCAATGGTCTCGTTACTGTGAGCCACCAGGATCAAAACCGTGTCGATTAGCTATATTAGTGCCCTTGTGTGAGGCATTAATCCTCATTACTGTCAGTTATGACTTAAGGGCGTAGGTCCCCTAGTCGATCAGCATAGTAGCACACACATGCTTTAGCAGTCACGCAAAACAAACACTCGCAAATTATTATTTAATAGAATCTGAGAATGTATACTATTATTTAGATATCATTGTCAAAATCATTCCATAAAATTGAGGTAAAAATAATTATTCCACCTTTATGGCCAACAGTTTAGTTTCTCTTAAGAAAATGTTCAGCGATGCATACACCCTAAATATAATCATTGCAAATATGTTTTTATTACAACTCCTGTCTGTAACATTTCTATTCCGTCATCAATAACTATGAAAATCGGAGAGGAGCTCTCAAGATACGTCACCGCGTGTGCTTTCCTGTTATCGCAACACGTGTGGAATGAGGACACGGAACCTCACATCCGTACATGCTGCCAATGTTAAAGGTATACGAATTAAGTATTGACATCATTGTTGAAAATGGTGAAAAGAAAGAGAGAAAAAACTATCTATACATCATTAATTGGACAAAATTGTCCTTGGCCAGGGTATTGTTCTCAGCAGCGTAATAAAGATTGATGTTGAAAGTTCTTACAGTTCCTGGAGAAACGTACTAGGAAAAGGTCCCTGGAGTAGGGAAGTAGGTGGAAGCGCCGGAACAGCTGCCTCGTTGTTGTGCTGTAAATGCTATACCCAACAAATTTTGGTATTGTACTACATAATTATAGTCTTGAGAAATTCAAGAAATTCAAGAATATGGTTTTTTACAGGCCTTCAAGAAATCAAGTCAAGGGCGATTAACATGTCCTATTGTGTTGGCCACAGAAATCATGTTCGGATGGCGATGCCCATGTGCTTAAAATATAGTATATTAAAAATCAATATCTTGCTTAAATATACCTCTCATACTCTTTGGTGTGGAATCTTTATTAATTAGATTAATGGGCAAGAATATAATAAATCTCTCAGAATAACTGAATTTATTTCTTTGGGTGAGTTTTCCTTTAACTCATTGGGACAGGCGCGGATCCAGGGGGGGGGGGCGAGCGTGCCTTGGGCCCCCCCCCCCCCGCAAAAAAAAAAAAAAAAAAAAAAAAGGAGAGAGAGAGAAGGAAAAGAAGGGAAAGAGGAGAGAAAGGGGAAAAAAGAAGAGGAAGAAGAAAAGAAAAGAGGGAAGAAGGAGATCGGGGGGAGGACTTGTTCCCCCCCCCCCCAATCAAAAAATAAAAGAAAAGGAAGGAAAGGGAAAGGAAAAATATAAAGAGGAGATAAAGGGAAGGACAAAATAGGAAGAAGAAAAGAAAAGAAGGGGGATATCAGTTGCAATTTTCCCGCCAACAAGTTGTGGATCGAGGGGGGGCAAAAGACCCTAGCCTCCCCCCCCCCCCCCCCCGTTCCCGCTAAAAAAAGAGAGAAGGAAGGAAAAGGAAAAGAGGAACGCTAAAAGGGAACAAAAAGAGGAAGAAAAAAAAGAAAAGGGAGAAAAGAAGCGGAGGTCAGTTGCGGTTTATCCCGCCAACAATGTGTGTAGCTGGTTGGGGAGCAAAATGAATATGCACCTCCCCCCCCCCCCCCCCCCACAGCAAACCTAAAAGAGAGATAAGTAAGGGAAGGGAAAGTGAAAGAGGAGAGAAAGGGAAAAGGAAAAAAAGAGAATGAAGAAAGGTAGGGGATATCCGTTGCAATTTTCCCGCCAACAAGGTGTAGATCGGAGGGGGGGGGGGCACTGGCATACTGATAGGGAGGGGGGGGGGGTTGAAGAAATAGAATTCAAACGTGGTTTATTTATAATTCCATAACGGTGGATAACAAATAATGCTGAAATGAGATAATTTTCCTCACTTCATGCGTTTGT